TGCAATGCACGCAGGCATTGTGGTGTACACTGGTGCTGTGTTGCGCACGGCTGATGTGGTGTACGGAGGCGTTGTGGTGTACACAGGAGCTGCTGTGCCCGCAGGCACGATGGCACAAACTGACGCTGTGCTGCGCGCGGCTGTTGTGGTGTACGTCGGCGGCGTGGTTTACACAGGCGCTGTGGTGCACGCGGGCACTGAGATGTACACAGGCGTTGTGGTGCATATCGCCACCTACATGTTCGTGCTACCCGTCCTCCGTCATTCCTAACCATTCACAAACGCCGCCGGCGCGAAACGTGACGTCATCGACCCCCTCCCCCCCCAGATGATTGCCGTCATCGGCCCGGGCTTAAAAAACAGGCTCCAGCCGCGTCCGCGCGCACGACGACGATGAGCGACGAGAGACGAACCACGAGCGACGACGACGAACGACGACGACGACGACGACGACGACGACGACGACGACGACGACGACGCCGCCTGCGGACCAGACACCTATGCGGATTCCTACGCGGACACCTACGCGGATCCCAATGCGCACGGCGGCAGTGCCCGGAGCGCACGGGGGGGGGGAGCGTTACGTCATAGGGGGGGGGGGAGCGGGGGCCATGACGCCCGTCATGCCCCAAGCAATACAGAAATGGCCTCCAACCTCATCCATATCCATGCCCTCCCGAACTGGACATCGAGGCGCGACCACATGGATGCGGATCCCGTGGATTTCTCCCGCGTGGGACCATCCGCGCAAAGCCGCTCTGCACTCATGGGGCCGCGGCCGAAGATTCGGGGCCCCCCAACCGCGCGATGACGGACCGCGCGGTGGCCTCGGAATCCCCACCGACATCACTGCACGGTCATTCCCCACACGGTTTTGGTACCCTGGGTGCCCCAGTCGCCAGACACATGCTCGGAGATCGACCCACTTTTCCAGACCGTGCGGTGACCCCGAACTCCCACCAACTCACCACACGGAATGGTCACCACACCACCTGAGGACCCCGACGGGGGCCCGGACCGGGAGTCTACGGATATGGATATCGTTTCCCGCCCGAGGGAGGCTAGGGAGGGAGGCTGGGGGAACCGAGGATGCCGACGTCCGCGGCTCTTCGGCCGCCACCCCGAAGCCGGCCCACTGAGTGCAGAACACAAAGGAGCAAACAACTCCATCCGCGCAGAGTCTCGGAGCTCCGCGCCGATTTCGTGGATCGGCGCTGGACCCCCCTCAACGAGAGCGCGCCAGGGGCGGCGCCGGCGGCGCCGCCAGGGGCCCCCCGGCGCCGATGCAAGAGCTCCGCGCAAAGCTCCAAAAGTTGATCCTTGTGCCGTGCTTGCACCGTCATGCAGATCCCAGAGCGAAGTGCTCCCCCCCCCGCTGGGGTGGCGACTTCCGAACCCTATCCCCACCAACCATCGATTTGAATGGCTGCCAAGGCTTCAGCCTCGAGGATCGAGGCGCGAGGCTCGAGCGTCGGGGGGGAGGGTAAAAGAGGATCGAGGAGGATCGTGGAGGATCGAGGATGGAGGAGAAGGAGGAGGAGGAGGAGGAGGACGAGGAGGAGGAGGAGGAGGAGGAGGACGAGGAGGAGGAGGAGGAGGAGGAGGAGGAGGAGGAGGAGGAGGAGGAGGAGGGAGGAGGAGAAGGACGCGGAGGAGGAGGAGGAGGAGGAGGAGGACAGAGGAGGATCGAGCGTCGAGGGACGAGGGTTGGCGTCTCAATTTCTGGAGCCGGGCGTTTTCGCCCGGCTTTGTGCCGGGCCCCAGGGTCCTCACAGATCGACCAGGCTCGAAGAATGGCGCAGGATGATGGGGTCCAAGGCTCTGGTCGTACAAACCAACCCTGCCAACCTACCACCTGCCCTACCCCTGAATCGACCCTGAATTGAAGGGAGGCGGAGGTAGGGTTCGGATATCGCCACGTGTTCGACGAATGCTGAACCCTACTCCAGCTGCCCATCGAGTTGCCCGAATCGTTGATCGGCGAGGGCAAGTTTCGGACTTCGCTGCCGACCGGTCCCTCCTCCCGCCACAATTCTGAGGGGGGGACATGGCGACCCCAACTCCCGACTGTTTGGGAGTTTTCGACTGGACCCAAAAATTGCAGGCCCAACCCTGGGGTTTATACGAAGGGGGGGTTCCATCCTCGATGGGGGTGCGCCCGAATGGCGCCCCATGAGCCTGTATTACCCAGAGCTCCCCCCCTTGCCCTGAACGGCCAAACTCTTCGGGCGGAACTCGGGGATTGGGAAGAAAAAATTACCACCAAAATTCTTCCTCGGAGTCGGGCCGACGGGTCCCGGAGGACGGGGGTCCCTGGAGTCCTTCCCCACTCGCGGGCCCCGGGGCCAAAGGGCTGCGGTCGTCGTCGTCGTGGTTGTCGTCGACGTCGTCGTCGTCGTCCGTCGTCGACGTCGTCGTCGTCGTTGACGGGGCGCCGCGCCGCAGTTCCTGGCTTCGTAGAGAACCCCACCTGCTCTCAAGAGACACCGAGCCGAGCAAGTTCGCAGCAAAGAATGAGATGGCCATATTCGCAGAAGGGGGCGTGCCAGCGAACAGCGCAGGGTCGACCACTCCATCAGCTACCTGTCCATGGGTTCGTCGTGTTGGAAAGCCCATGCAACTACTGAAGGGCCTCGCCCGAGCTTGGCCTCCTGGCGTTCGCGGACACCAGCAGCTCCGTCGAGTGACGCCACATGCTTGCGTGGTGGTCTCTACGAGCGGGCAAGGTGTCACATGGCACTCTGCCCAAATGCAGTGGTGGCCCCAACCGCGCGTCGCGTGACATGTGTACACAAGGACGCGTCGGGTACTGGAATTCGTCTGGCTTGGCCTGCAACGGAGAGCCAAATTATAGTTGTCCCACCAACCATGGATCCCAGGACAAGCTCATGTGGGCACTCTGAAAAGCCCAGGCTGTTAACGGGAAGCCCCTGTGCGAAAGGCCCACTGGAGGAACTCCAGAGAAGCACGAAAAACATCAGAAACCCACTCCAAGTCCAGGCTTTCGTGCTGACCCTCGTGCCTCTTCCCGGCACTGGCCGCCGGTCGGGCGTGCTGGGAAGAGGGGCAGGAAGAAGGTGGTTCGCGCATCCTGGCCGGAAGCACCTGCGCGGACGAGCGAGTCGGCCATGTAGATGCATGGAAAATCAGTGTGGGAGAAATCGTGACCCTGGACGGGGGCCATCAGCGTGGGGGCCATCAGCGTGGGAGAAATCATCGTGAATGGATGGGGGCCATCATCGTGGGAGAGATCGTGACCCTGGCCGTGGTGGCCACAGACCCTGTGTTCGCTCCACTCGTCGACGCCCCAGGGGCTTGGGCGACTCTTGTGGATGCCACGACAGTGGACACCCTAACAGTCCTGTCATTGAATCTAAACTGTGTTTTGAATGTAGGAGAAGTGTTCCAAACATGTTTCAGTTATGTTTTTACATTGTTAAAGCATGTTCAACACATTTTTTAGACATCTGGGAATTATTTGGCAACACGTTTCCTTTCCATTGATCGTCCTCCACAAGGCGAATCTTGACCCTCCAGCCAGCTGCAAGGGTCTCTTCTTGCAACTGGCAGCTGGCGGGCACCGAGCAGCGTGGCCTTGCGCGGGAGCGCGGCACGCCAGGAGTCCGGACGAAAACGCGGCCCCAAGTCGCGCCGACCACCTTGAGCCAGTACGCATCCAGCGAAAAGAATAGCACTACAGGCGTGTGCGCACAACGGCCCAACCTCTGCGGCGGGAAGCGTCGATGATCCTCCAGACGTGTGTTAGCGCAAAAGTGTCATTGTCCACCGAAACCGTTCTCTGCGACGCAGGCCAAGTAACGAGGGCCGCCACAGGCTGCGTGAAGCTCTGCGGGGTAAATGCACACTGGATCGGCACACCTCCTGAGGATCATCGAAGGTGGCGGTCACGATGTACCGCCGATCCTGGGGAGTGGGGGGGGGAAGGGGGGCAGGTACGGACTCAGACATCCACACACATGCATGTCGATCAGGAGCTGGCGCAGGAAGCCTTCGTCGTGGCATCACGGCAGAGGGGTCATTGACAACGACTGGTTCGGTGGTCGCGCACGGCTCAGGAGCGGTACGAGTCCTGACGCGTGGCGGAGCAGATCAACAGTCACTCTGTGAGTCGAGCTCATGGGGCAACCCAATGAATATGCGTCTATTGTCGGTCTGGCCCTGGACCAAATCGTTCCTGGCACTCAGACTGCGCTGTACTCGTCGGATTCCAACTGCCCCTGCCGTCATAAAATCACCCTCGCCATCATCAGCAACACGGTAAAGAGTCGTGCTGCGCAGGGGAGAGGGCAGGGGCTACTGCACAATGTCATGTTCGCTGTGGGTGCGCTAGATCACCCCACCTGTCCACGTTGACTGAGGGTGATCGTCTGGATTCTGTCCACACCAACTGGATGGGCGTGGAACAATGGAGGTAAACGGATGTTCCGAACGGCCTCTGGCGAGTCGGCACATGAGTAGTTCGCAGTCCTGCGGGGTGCTATGAACCCCTCCTGTGTGCTGCGGTCGGATTTAACCTGAAGTTGCGCACTCACGAAATCCAATCCGACCCATGGTCCCGTACTACTACTGCAGTGAATGTTTGTAAACGCCGCGTCAGGGACCCTCCTTCCATCTCTCGAACAGGCAGACAGCTACAGCTATTGAAAACTTCAATGTGAACACCAACTTTACACAAGCTCCACTAAGAGACGAGCTGCCGCGACGAAGACACTCACAAACTATGACAGCGCCAATAGGCACTTCAACACGGGAATGCTACTTCTGGGCGCAACTCTGACATGCGACCTCCCGCTCGTGATTCCTCGTCGGGTTGAAAAGCTGCAACATGACACTGGTCGAGAGATGGTGTTGTGAAAACCCTAGCCAGCACAAGCGATGACCATGTGCTATCAGACCCGACCAACATGACCCACAACCCCGTCCGAACACATGTGAAATTGTGTTGCCCCCTCCAGTCAATCAGGCCCCCACACCCACTCCTGCGATAATGTAACGCAAACGAGGTTGGTCGCCTGCACATCGCAAATAGTAAGACAGTGGGCGCGGAGAGGGGGATGATGAGGTGGCAAAAACAAATCCAAGACACAGGGACAAGAGAAGATGAGAGAACAGGGCAGGAAAAATAGGCATGGGGCGAGATAGTGGTCGACCGAAAATTGACCGAGAGGGGTTGAGCAATAAGACGTGGTACACATGCGGTGGGTTGCTGAGCCACTGCGAACATGTGGTACACATGTACGTAAACATAAACTGGAACCACGCGAGCGCTACGCGCAAGCTTGGGTTCTAGCCGACTCCGCAGTCATTGTCAATAGGCTTTGCAATACTCCACGCACTCGTATTCACCAAAGGAGAAGTGCCCCGAGCGTAGGCCACCCCTGGCGCGTGGTGCCAAGCCTTCCCAATGATAACAACGGGCTCGTGTGGCAGTCACAAAGTCCGCCGAGCACTTTAGGAGCCATCAAGGCGTGTGAAACTCTTCCCTCCCATAACCCCCTTCCGAACAGGGGCGGGGGGCAGGGGGACAACATGGCAGCGGAAAGTGCTGAGCGAGCTTTGGACGCCCGCCGCTGCGCGTCGCGCCTGTTCCCGCTCGTCAAGGAAAAGGCTGAGCGAACTTTGCCCGCTTGGCAATGGGACCCGCGCTACATAAACTTGGCATTCGGGTACACCGATGACCCATCTGAACACAAGTTGTTTCGTCAAGTGAGCGATCGGAGCTTCTTTCGCCCGCCTCGGCCGAATCTACCCGATTGCTCATTCGAACGTGGTCCCCCACGGTCAAACAGGCAATCGGAGCTCAATTCCCGCGACTCGCCACCCCGCGGTTGCCAATTTGACAGTTGACGACCTACCAGACCATCCCAACCAAACCCGAAGACCCGAATTTCGGGCTGGGGGGGTACGGGATTCATGTGTGCGTTTCCCATGTTCCCCGACCCCCCCCCACTGGAAATGGAAGGCAAATCGGGGCCTTCGGGTTGGGTTGGGGTGGTCTGGTGGGCGGTGAACCAGGGGCCACCAATGACGAATGGGCAATCGGAGCTAACCTCCCGCGCCTTGGCTTGCCCCCCAGATGGTCCATGTGACAATGGGCCCCCGCTGCCAAAGCGATAATCGGACTCCCTTGGCCGCCCAGACCTGGCCCCCGAACAATTTTTGTCCGTCAGCAGCGAGGCGGCGAACTCCGCTCCAGCGAGAAGCTGGGGCACGAACTAGCGAATTGGCCAGCGTGCAGAGAGGGAGGGGGGGACGGCCGAGAAGAAGAAGGGACGCTCAGACGCCGAAGAATTCGACGATGAACAGCCCGCGGGCAGCAGCAGCCAGGCGCGCAGGGCCAGAGCGCGGTGGGCGCCTGGCCCCCGGACCAGCTGTTGGGCAATGGGGCCCCACTGCCAAAGGCGCCAGCTACGTCATCACCCCCGCCTCGGCTGGGCCTGAACGTTTGCCGCTGGAGCCTCACTGTCACATGGCCGGGCCCCCGACTGGCCGCCCACGTGGCAATTTGGCCCCCAGAGCTACATCCATCCTGCAAACGCCTTGCAGACGACCACCGAAGAGCCGCGCAAGAGCATCCTGATGATCCCATCACGAGCTTCGTAAGGAAAGGGGCCCCAGCAGGGGGCACGCTGTTGTTTCGGGCGCAGGGCCGCCGTTGTCTCGCCTGCCCCTCCGCTGGCCGTCAGAGGCAACGAGCGGGGCGAATAGCACATGGGGCGGGCATTGCACACATTCGTCGGGGAGCCTCGCCGAAGACATGGACCACGGGCGTTCCTGGATACATGTGTTGCTACCCCCTGGCTAATCGATCCATACCGTCTCTTCCGAGACCGACTCTGCGGGCCTATACGTGGGCGGGCACCGCGCCACACGGCGCGCTGATGCCAGTCCCCACCGCCTTGCCTTGCCGTGCCGGCGCCCCTCACTTGATCTGGTCGCCACCGTTGCAAAGGCACTGCGCTGCAAAAGCATCGCATTGTGTTGCCATCGCTTTGTGTTGCATTGCGCTGCATCGCGTTGCATTGCTTTGCACCGCATAGCTTGCACCACATAGATTGCAACACATAGCTCAGGCAACATAGCGTGCACCATATGGAACCACATAGTTTGCACCCGTACCATACGCCACGTCGACTGGACCACATATGTTGAAGCACGCAGCGTGCATCCCACAACTTGCACCACATAGGTTACACCACTTGGCATGAGGTTGTGTGGAGGTTAGGAGTATATGAGGTGGTGGTGGAGGACGCGGGGGGAGGAGAAGAGGGTGGTATGGGTGGGAGGCATGTGTCTGTGTGTGTTTGTGAATGATTGGGTGGGGTAAGGTGCATGGGTGGGAAGCCTAGCGCGCATGGGGCCAAGGAGTGCAATGACGTGGCGTGGCGTGGGGCGGAGTGAGGTGAAATGAGGGCTGGGGATGTAGGTGGTTTCTGTGTGTCTGCCTATGTCTGTTTGCCTGTGCGTGCGTGCGTGCGTGCGTGCGTTTTTTTTTGTGTGTGTGTGGTGGAGTTGAGGCCAAGGGAGGGCTTGCGGTGGTAAGTGAACAGAGCGATGTGTGCGGGCGTATGGCATCTGCTAGATGAAAGGTAGGACGGATAATGGAAAATCATGAAGAATAGAGGGATCGAGGAGGAAAAGAGCGGAGGGAAGGGGGGGAGAGGAGAAGAGAAAGAAGGGGAAATGGTCACATCAAGGGAACGCTGCATCGGCGGCACTGGCCAAAGTCCATTACAATAAGAAGTTGTACACGTGCGGTCGTCTGCTGAACAACGGCGCACTTGTGGTACAGACGTGGCTCAGACTGTTCGAGTAAGGTATCAATGTGTGCCTAGATCCAGCCTCTGAGCATGCTTGCGCGCCGTAGCAGACAACCAATTTCGGATCAATGTGGGTGACTAGCTCGCCGAATTCACAATCCAAACATGCTCAAACATCGCATGAGCGTAGTGATGGCCACGGCGTGCGTGCGAATGAGCAATTCGAAAAAGAAAACACGTCATACACATAAACTGTTGGAGTTCAGCGCGGACTTCTTGGATCTGCGCTGGACCCCTTCTCCGAAGAAGCAAAGCGGAAGAGCAAATCCAGAGAGCAAACAGGTTTCGCGAATAAGCAAATTCGGGAGAACATTTTATAAAGATGGCCCACGCATGTTGCCGAATGATCGAAACCAGACGGTGTAGAGCATTTTTGTTGAAGTCGGTCTGGTACGGTGTTCATCGACGGGTTGCCCAAACGGTTTGGCAGAAGATTTGCTCATCGATGTGCTCCCCGAACCTCCCACGCATTCTTGCTCTCCAGGTCCCGTTCTACCATGGCCACCCGACATGCGAACGCATGGTTAAACTTCGGTTGCGGTCCCTACTTGTCTGCGGAAACGGTGACCTCAGAATATCGCCCGCGATGTCTATGTGCATCGGAAGGCTTGACTGCGCGCCGTCGCGCGAGTCGCCACCTCGTCCGCAACGCGAACCCAAAACATACAAAATACACGGAGGCGTCTGTTTGCTATCGGGCGGCCGTCCATGTACGGGGACGGGGACCTCACAATACTGCCCGCGATGTCCATGTGCAACGGAGGACTTGACTGCGCGCCATCGCGCGAGTCTCCACCTCGTCCACAACGCGAATCGAAAACATACAAAATACACGGATCTGCCTGCTTGCTTTCGGGCATCCGTGCATGTACGGGGACGGGGACCTCACAATACTGCCCGCGATGTCGATGTGCATCGGAAGGCTTGACTGCGCGCCGTCGCGCGAGTCTCCACCTCGTCCGCAACGCGAACCCAAAACATACAGAATACACGGAGCCGTCTGCTTATTGTCGGGCGGCCGTCCATGTACGGGGACGGGGACCTCACAATACTGCCCGCGATGTCGATGTGCATCGGAAGGCTTGACTGCGCGCCATCGCGCGGCTCTGCACCTCGTCCACAACGCGAATCGAAAACATACAAAATACACGGATCCGCCTGCTTGCTTTCGGGCCTCCGTGCATGTACGGGGACGGGGACCTCACAATACTGCCCGCGATGACGATGTGCATCGGAAGCAACCCGAATCGAAAACATACAAAATACACGGATCCGCCTGCTTGCTTTCGGGCCTCCGTCCATGTGCGGGGACGGGGACCTCACAATACTGCCCCCGATGTCTGTGCATCGGAGGGCTTGACTGCGCTCCGTGGCGCGAGTCTCCACCTCGAGCGCAACGCAAATTGGGAACATGCAACATACTCTCTTCCGTCGGCGGCGAGTCAGAGATAGTCCACTCCAGCGTGGGGCTGGTCGGGGCAACCGAAAGGCGAATTGTCCGGCGTGTATGTGGAAGGACAAGAGACGAAGGCGAGGGAGGCCGCTGGGGGGGAGGAGGGGGACATACAACATTGAAGGGGCCCCAGGACACACAAATAAATGCACACAAATAAAAATATTCACTATATTTTTCCATATGTTCTGGGTTTTTGTTTTCCCCCCCACTTCCCATATTTTCCCATATTTTCTGGGAAATCGCCGATGAATTGTGTCTGTGTGTGTTTTCCCCTCTTGAGTATGCTTGCTCTCCGCCTGCCGTCCTCCGCCGGCCCTCCTCTGGATCCCGCCGGTGGCGTCGCCCTCAGTTGACCTCTGTCAGCCTTCGGCGGCCTTCCGCCGAGAATGGGATGCCAACTTCGAGTCTCGGGCCGGGCGAAAGGGGGGGATAGCAAAGGGGGGGTTGAGAATCAGCTCACGTAGCTGATTTTACCGGCGCCTCATGGCGCCAGGAGGCGCCCATGTATCGAGGAATGGGCCCAGCGGCGGGGCAGAAACCAGCTGCATGCAGCAGATTTCGTAACCCCCCCTTTCCCCAACCCCCCCTTTCGCCCGACCCGAGAGTCAGGGATCGTGCGCAAAAGTGACTTACCCCAAACATCTTTGTTCTCGCCGAATGTACACAACATGCGCATGGTGTTCGTAGCTCTGCGAGCATTGTACGCGGTGTTCGTGGATTTGACGGACACAGCAACTCTGGGGTACATCAATTCTGCAGTCGGTCCCCTTCCCAACCACTTGCCGGGCCGATCCCTCCAGGGCGAGGACCATCCTGTCACCCCCTGCAAAGCCGAAGCGGCCAAGGCTGGCGGCCTCCCCGGCAATCACGAAGCGGGAGAACTCCGCCAGCCGGCGCGCGTATTCCCGTCCGCGAAAGGACCTCAGATTCCGTCGCCTCCCTGTGAGCAGGGACCAACCGTCCTGGCAATCCTGTAGGCCTATTGGTAACTTGTCATCGAAGAGGAAACGCCAGTCAGCGTGGGCCCAAACCAGGTGTGACTCTAGTGATAGATGTGCTGTGCAATCTGTGTTGTGCGAACTATGTGGCGCAATCTGTGTGGTGCAGTCTACGCGTGCATCCTGTATGGTGCAACCCACATGGTGCGACCCATTTGGCGAAGTCTGTGTTGTGCATGTCGTGTTGGACGATATTGTACTCTATATGTTGTGAAACCTACGTGGCGCAATCGAAGTGGTGCAAACCATGCGGAGCAACTCGTGTGGTACAACCTCTGTGGTGCAGGATCTGCTGTGCACTCTACGTGGTGCTATAGATGTTATGCAACGCATGTGGTGCAATCGATGCGGAAGTGGTGCAAATACGTGGTGCAAGCTGCGTAATGCAATTTATGCATGTTCGCGGTGAGTTGCCAAGTGTTGCTCGCATCATCACCCCACCCACTTGCAATTTGGCCTGCAAAACCCATGCGGCGGCGATTCCGATGAATGCTTGGTGTTGGCTGGTGCATACCTTTGCGGCCCCACTAACCCGCGCATGCTCGCGCGCGCACCGGCCAGCTAGTTTGGCACGACCGACGCGGCCACGACGGCGCTGACCGCTAGGCACGTCCCAGCGGGCATTTCCGTGCCAAGCGGCGACTTGGGCGGGCGCGGCATCATTACAACGTCACCAACGGTAGACACGATGATGGTAGTAGCGATGCTGGTGGCGATAATGACAGCGACCACGGCACGGCCAGTGACGGCGCCGATGCAGATCACGCCGAGGACGCTGACGGCTTCTACGAGACGGTGATGAAGGTTTTTGAAGGAGTTCGACACGCGCGCGCGCCCGACGTGCGAAAAAAAACGCATGGTATGTTTGGACACGGATCGTCCCCCCAAGCACGCGCGCAAGGGCGCGCAAGGTCCGTTTTGCAGAATGCAATGAGACAGTGAAGCATTTGTTTTCCGAACTTGAAGTTTTTTGTTCTTGACCTTGCACAACCATGTGCTTATGTATGATGTCGGGGCGCTCGATTTTGAAATCATATTCCAACGTGCGTGCGCGACGACGCGCGCGTGTGCACTTCGTCCCGTGTTTTGCGAGTGACTCTTGCGACAGCACGCGCGCAAGGGCGTTCGAACGGTTCCGACATGTGCGCGCGAAAGGCCCTCGCGGTAAAATGTTATGTCACTGTTGAGCAAGCCATGGTTTTGTCAAAATCGCACGAGCGCGAGCGCAAGTTTGCTTGGGCCATTCTTGTTGCGAAAGCATGTGTTTACACATATAGATATATATGTATTTTATACATATATATATATATATATATATATATATATATATATCTCAAAAGAAAAAACTTGAACCACGCGCGCGCTTCGCGCGCGCTTAGGTTCTGTCGAGTCACAGACCCAGGAATCGTTGTTAGAAGAAATTGGTGACGCGAAGCGTCGTGGGGGCGTCCTTGGACGTCTGGGGTCTCCTGGGGCCTCTTGAGGGGTTTCCTGGGAGCCTCCTGGCGGCCTCTTGGGGCGGAAGGCTCGAGCTTGCGGTTCGTGGTCCCCCTCTGGGCCCCCTCTTGGGCCCGTCTTGGGGCCCTCTTGGGCCATCTTGGGCGCCTCTTGGGCCGTCTTGGGGCCCTCTTGGGCTGTCCTGGGGCCCTCTTGGAAGCTTCTTGGGCCGTCTTGGGGCGGTCTTGGGCGCCTCTTGGGCCGTCCTGTAACGTCGGAAAGCCCAAAAGGCGACTTTGTTGAACATGCTCGTTTTACGAAGGGAATGGGCAAATTTTTCGCGTCTAGGGGCCCTCTTGGGACGCATGTTGGAGGCTTCTTGGGGCGTCTTGGGGGCGTCCTTGGACGTCTGGGGTCTCCTGGGGCCTCTTGAGGGGCCTCCTGGGGGCCTCCTGGCGGCCTCTTGGGGCGGAAGGCTCGAGCTTGCGGTTCGTGGTCCCCCTCTGGGCCCCCTCTTGGGCCCGTCTTGGGGCCCTCTTGGGCCATCTTGGGCGCCTCTTGGGCCGTCTTGGGGCCCTCTTGGGCTGTCCTGGGGCCCTCTTGGAAGCTTCTTGGGCCGTCTTGGGGCGGTCTTGGGCGCCTCTTGGGCCGTCCTGTAACGTCGGAAAGCCCAAAAGGCGACTTTGTTGAAAATGTACGTTTTACGAAGGGAATGGGCCAATTTTTGCGTCTAGGGGCCCTCTTGGGACGCATGTTGGAGGCTTCTTGGGGCGTCTTGGGGGCGTCCTTGGACGTCTGGGGTCTCCTGGGGCCTCTTGAGGGGCCTCCTGGGGGCCTCCTGGCGGCCTCTTGGGGCGGAAGGCTCGAGCTTGCGGTTCGTGGTCCCCCTCTGGGCCCCCTCTTGGGCCCGTCTTGGGGCCCTCTTGGGCCATCTTGGGCGCCTCTTGGGCCGTCTTGGGGCCCTCTTGGGCTGTCCTGGGGCCCTCTTGGAAGCTTCTTGGGCCGTCTTGGGGCGGTCTTGGGCGCCTCTTGGGCCGTCCTGTAACGTCGGAAAGCCCAAAAGTCAACTTTGTTGAAAATGTACGTTTTACGAAGGGAATGGGCAATTTTTTGCGTCTAGGGGCCCTCTTGGGACGCATGTTGGAGGCTTCTTGGGGCCTCTTGGGGGCGTCCTTGGACGTCTGGAGGCCATCTTCAGCATCTCCGAGCCCTCTTGGAGACCTCTTGGAAGTTTCTTGGGCCGTCTTGGGCGCTCCTGGGGCCGTCTTGTCTGACCGGGGAGGCCTCCGGCAAGCCCCGACGAGCCTCCGGGCCCCCCGGAGCCCACATTTGTGGTCGAGGTCCCGGCCCCGGGCCCCCGGACCCGGTGCGCCGCTATATGTATATAGTGTGTATATATATATATATATATATATATATATACATGGATGCTTTGGGGACGCTCGAATTTGAAATCCGCACGGCACACAAGATGTTTGAAGGATTTGGGCATGCGCGTGCGACGACGTGCGGGTGTGCACTTCGTGGCATTCGTTTTGCAAGAAGTTCATGACACCTGATAATTTGTGATAAACGACATCGCGCGTTTAACATTTTTTCTTGCTGGAAAGATGGGGGGGGGCATACCGGCCTGCCTGGGGTGGTACACGATCAAACTTAGAATGCGGGCGGTGGACAGATTCGTATTCAAATTGCACGACGAAAGGGGGTATCGTGAAATTCCCGGGGAGGGCGGGGGGTAGAGTCTATATCTCGTGTCGAAGATGGAATCAATGTGGAGCTAACAATGACGCAAAATACGTGGATCTGCCTACGTGGTGCAACTGATTGCAACAAACAAATTGACACACCCCACGCTCTTGCAACCATCCCACCCCCCCACCAGTAACTTGGTTTGCAAAGCCCATGTGTTGGCGTTTCCGATGCATTCTTGGCGTTGGCCGGTGCATCTCTGCGGCCGCGCAAACCCAACCACGTGCGCGCAGCGGCCAGCTAGTTTGGCGCGGCCGACGCGAGAGCGGTGGTGCTGACCGCTCGGCACTTCCCAGCGGGCACTTGAGTGTGAGTCGTCGACTTGGGCGGGCGCGGTATCATGGCAACGTCAACTACGGTAGACACGAATATGATAGCAGCGATGATGGTGACGACGCAGGTTGCGACGACGGGGCAGCCAGTGAGGGCGCGGATGTTGATCACGCCGACGACGATGACGGCGTCTTCGCGTCGGTGATACAAAAAGAATTGTGAAGAAGGTCGACATGCGCGCGCGGCAGAGGCGCGATAGTGGCCCGCATGGTATTATTTGACACGGACCTTGCCCCCCCCGCACGTGCGCAAGGGCGTTCGAACGATTTCGACATACGCGCGCGCGAAGCCCGCTTGGTAGCATGCTATGGAAAAAAATCAAGAACTGGGTTTCTTTTTAAAAGATCGCAAGGATGCGCGCGCGAGCTTGTTTTGGAAATCCGCGTTGCGAAACCATGTGGTTTTTTTTTATGATTTGTTTGACATTCGATTTTGAAACCCCTACGAAGTCGAAGGTGTTTGGAAGGATTTCGGCATGCGCGCGTGCGCACTTCGTCCCATGATGTATTGCAACCCTCTGTTTCTTGATAAACGAGCGTGCGCGCATAATTTTCTGAGCAGGATGGCGGGGGGGGGCGAACCCGGCTGGGCTGGCATGGTACGAATTCATATTTGAGATGGACGATGGGGCAGAATCATTTGTAAATTGCGATAAAAAATGGTATACCGATAAAGCCGGGGTGGGTGGGTGGTGCTGGATTCCTTCTTGTACCAAAAAAGAGAATGCAGGTGGTCCAGTCTGCGCGGTGCAATCTATGCGGCACAAAGCAATGCGAAGCAATGCAGCGCAATCCGATTGCAAAGCAGTCTGATCGCAATGCGATGCCTTGTAAAGCAACGCGAAGCAATGCAAAGCACGGCGTAGCAATGCAAAACCATGCCCAGCAATGCAAGCCCAACCGCCGTGCGGCGACAGGGCGGCGACGCGGCGGCGGCGGCGACCACGGAGCCGCCAGACCGCCACGCAGGCCAAGTTCCTTAGAAGGCAAGCGAGCACCCTTAAGTTCCAGCACTGCCGAAGGCAATGTCCTAAGAACCAATACGATCTTCTTGGAGCACAGAAGCTATGGAAAAACTGCCTCGGCCAGACATGTTCTCAGAACATTTCGCGGAAACCAGCGGATGCTCATGGGACTTTTCTTGTGGGACTACAGGCACGCCAGGACGCTCCGCCACGCCTGATTGCGGCGGAGGACCGATCACCGACTGGCCCTCAAGGTCCGATTCCAACTGCCCACGCCGCCTCCGACCTGGACCTCCGCCCCGGACCTCCGCTCTTCCTCCGGATCGCTCTCTGACGGCCATGGGGCCCGTGAAGCCTAGGGCCGCCGGAAAGGGCGAAGAGCCCCACGCAGGACCCGCTTCCCACGGCATCAGTTTTCATTGGCGACCTCCCCCCCCCGCTCCAGGCACCCGTTCGGTGGCAACTCACGGGAACCTCCCGTACCATCTTGTCGGCTCTTGCGAATCGACGCTAGTCGGTGCTTAGTCGACGCTAATCGACGCTACATTGGGGGCTCTCATCGACTCCCAGGCGATCATCGACGCTAAAAAAAAAAAATTCGAGAGCACGGTGGGGGCATGTGACAGGGAACCCTTAGATAAGGAACCCAGGGTCTGGAAGCCAGTGGAACTCCAATTGTGGATTGGCCATGGATATCACCGCCGCCCTCATCGGATGAGGCATCCCCCAGGGTCTACAGCCTCTTGGGCGCATTCCTTAACGAACGCCCTCACCGTACACAAGGCTCCCGTGTGAGGGGCAACGATAGGAAGGGACTGGCATAGGGGGGGATGCATCGACCTGGAATCGGCGATACATCGCCGATACGTCGGCGATAGGCCCCCGATAGTGAACCCGAACCTTCCTGTGCAGGTTGGGGCTATCGGGCCCCCATCGGCGATCAATGGGCGATTCCGGGTCGATGCATCCCCCCCCTATGCCTATCCCCCCCTATCGTTGCCCCCGACCGTGGCTTGCTACCGAGAGGCACCCTGGCCGGCGCGCCAGTCGCCACCAAAGCTCGGAGACGGCGCCGACCGCCGCCGAGAGGACGGGGCGGTCGGCGGGGCCCGCGGGCACAGGAGGGGCGCGGGGTCTCGGGGCGGCTGGGGGCGCAGGTTCTCGGGGCGGCTGGGGCGCGGGCAGTGACGCGTCACCCCCCTTCCTGCGGCGGCGGCAGGGCGGGGGGCGAGGGGGCGGGGGGTGCGAGGTAGGAGGGGGGGCGGGGAGCGCAAGGGAGGGGGGGAGGAGTACAGCCGGCCCGTCTCGTAAGGGTGCGCGACAAGGATGCAGGGGCCTTGCGCGCCCGTCTCGAAGCTTCCCGAGCGGGGCGCGGCCAAGGAACGGGGGCAAGGATGGACCGAGGAGTCACGGATGCAATGGCACCCTTGAAGGTTGCCCATCCTTTCTATGCGGGTTGACCGTAGGGAGGGAGAGGGAGGGAGAGGGAGGGGGGACGGGGGCAGGAGCAGGATATTGGGGGAGAGGGGACGAGGGAGGGAGGGAGGGGCGGGGGAGCGGAGGGAGGAGGGAAGGGGGTGGAGGCGAGCAGGGCGGGCGCGATCTGGCGGGGCTGGGCGGCGGGCAGGAGAGGCCAGGCCGAGGCGCGGGCCGGCTGGCTGCGCAGCGGGAGGAGCAGGAGGCCGCGTCGAAGGGAGAGATTGGCGGAGAGGGCGGGCGCGGCTTCTCGGAAGCCCTCGGGCCTTCTGAGACGCCCCCCTCCTCCTCCTCCTCCTTCTCCTCCCTCCCCCTCCTCCTCCTCCTCCTCCTCCTCCTCCTCCTCCTCCTCCACCTCGTCCTCCTCCCCCTCCTCTTCCTCCTCCTCCTCCCCCTCCTCCTCCCCCTCCCCCTCCCCCTCCTCCTCCTCGTCTCCGGAGGCAGTTTGGAGAGCTCCTCGGAAGGTTGAAGGTCCTCTGAGCCCTCTTAGACTGCCTGCCCCCGTCTCGCTTCAGACCGGTCTCGCCGCCGAAGAGACACTGGGGGGAGGCGCGCTCCCAGCAGGAAGTCCGCCGCCGTGCCCCTCGGCACGTTGAGGCGGGCAAGAACGCCAAGGCCTGTCTGGTAGGGTTCTTTGAGTTCTGATGGGGGGCCGCCCATCCCTCCATCCGCAGACTCTTGCGTGGCTGCTAACTCCTAGGCCCTCATCCCACGCGCACCCGCTCGAGGATCGTGCACTTCCCGCATTCTCAGGCGCTGCTCCCAAGCGCTCCATGACCTCCCGGCCAACGATCCCTCGTTAATTACTCGACGCGGGGATCCCCACATGTGGATCTAAGTTTACTGGTACGTCTCTTTGTTGGTATGTGTCAATGGGCGTGTGCGCGTGAGAAAGTCGCTAGCCCGAGACACTCCCACAGTCTGCAAGCCTGAAAGCGAGTGAGTCGCATGTCTTTGTGCGGGTCAGTTTGAGTGAGAGCGAATTTGAGTGCGAGTGAGCCTGATTTTGAGCGGGTCTGAGTGTAAGTAAGTCTGAGTGTGAGTTCGTCTGCGTGTCAGTGTGTCTGATCGCGAGTTGGTCTGAGAGTGAACAAGTCAGCGTGCGAGTTAATCTGCGCTCGAGCAAGTCGGAGAATGATGACTCTGAGCATGGGTGATTCTGACTATGAGTGAGTGTGAGTGTGAATACGAGTGCGGGTGAGTCTGTGTGTGACTGAGTCTGGTTGTGGTTGAGTCTGAGTATGGGAGGGTCTGGTCAACCATATAGGTAAACCACATGAGGTAGCCCCACAATCTGGGCGTGTATCCTGGAGTGCGACAGCCCTGGCGGCCCCCACCATGGAAAACTGAAACCATGAGAATCCCCACAATCCGTTCTGGAAGCACACAGATCCAACCAATCAAACATGCACACCGCCGGAGGCACCCCGGCAATGCGGGCGCGAACCCGTGCAAAAGCCGCCCAACGCCCCCCCCCCCCCTTGGGAATGCGGAAACCAACGCCGCGCCCGAGACATCCTCACAACCTGCCCCGAACGCAAGGGATGCTGCGGACCGAAGCGCGCGAATCGCCTGAGACATCCCCACCGTCTGGGCGCGAACGGGCCCCTGCAAGACACCCCTGGCGCCCCCACCTGGGAGTGCTGAGCCCAGCGCCTCGCCCGAGACATCTCCCAAAGCCGCTCCGAAAGCAGAGGATGCTACGGTCCGATGAAGACGAGCCGCTTGAGACATCCCCACACTCTGGGCGCGAGCGGGCCCGGGCAAGACCCCCGGTGGCGCTTCCTCTTGGGAAGACTCCCCTTGGCGCCTCGCCTGGGACATCCTCGCAGCCTGCGCGTGTGATAGAGTTTGATTCTGAGTGAGTGTGAGTGAGAAAATCATGTGGCTGAGTCTGGGTGAGGGAGATTACACCTGAGTTCGAGCGAACATGAATGATGAGTGGGTCTGGGTGGGAGTGGGCAAGAGTATGGGTGAGCCTGGCTTTGAGTGAGTCATAGCGTGGCGAGTGAGGCTGTGTGATGAAGGCGAGGAGGAGGGAGGTGAAGTGAGAAGTCGGCGCGGTCTTAACACAAAAAGCGGATGCCCATCTTAGGACATGAAAAAAGCTACGGGTATGCGCCCCGAGCTTCCAAGACGGCCCTTGCAGATAACCGAGGGCACCAAGATGGCCCAAGATGTATCAAAAACTGTCCAGGATGGCCCCAACGCGGCCGACGATTGATTCAAGGCGGCCGAAGATGCCTCCAAGAGGAGCCACAACAGCCATAAGAAGACCTCCAATCAGGCCCGCAGAAACCCAACTCAATGAGTGTCCGTTGGTCTTTGGATGATTGCCGCATTCTTGCATGCTCTGGCTGTCGTCAGCTCAAGGCGGCCCACGAAGACCCCACGATTGCCCAAGAAGCATCCACGAAAGCCCCAAGATGGCCCAGGAGGACTTCCCGTGCGAGCCAAGACGGCAAACTGAAAAGCGTTCGGTGGCAACTCATGGGAGTCTCCCATGCCATCTTGTTGGCTCTTGCGAACCGACGCTGGTCGACGCTAAAACAATGCTACTCGTGGCTGAATCGACGCTAGGTCGACGCTAATCGATGCAACATCGGCGCTATCTCATCGACTTTCAGGCGCTAACCGACGCTAAAGACGAAATTAAAAAGGTATACCAGGCTCCTATGAGTTGCTACCGAACGTTCGCATGTGAAAACATCGGCGCATGGCTGGGAGCCGCGGAATGTTTGACACATATTGAACGCGGACGTTTCTCGGGCACAATCGATCATACTGTATTGCCGCTGACATATTTCACCACCCACGGCGGGTTCCCAAGGTTCCTTCGATTCCGGCTCCCAGCCCCGGCAAGCGCAATGCATGAGCACACCCATTCCAGCCGAAGAGACGAGCTACCATATTCAGAAAAAAGTCCTGCGCGTGCGAGGCGAGGGTAGATTTCCATTTTGACAGTATGTGAGCAAAGATCCATCGTCAAATCGTCGGGACCCTCTCTCCCAGGCCATAAGGAATACAATCGTCTTGGCCGACGGGGCCCTCGTCCCGGTAACGAACCATCATGTCAGGCCGACCCTCTGGTTTGATTAATCCCCTGCAGGGGATAAGCACAGCTGGAGATAAGATACCGAAGTGCACAGCTCCGAACGCGAGCCAGCTGGAGAGCAGCTCCGGTGCTCCAAGACATGCGAGCTGAACGAGTCCAGCAAGGGAACCCACCCGATGGGCAGCCAGGCCGTGTGAGGAGGAGGAGGAGGAGGAGGAGGAAGAGGAGGAGGAGGAGGGGGGGGGGCGTCGGATGTTTTATTTTTTCCTGGCAGCCAAGGCGGCGTTTGCGCCCTGCCTGCCCGACGGTGAGGCCTCCAGCGCAGCACAGTCGCGGAGACTCAACGGCTGCATCGTGGGCGCCCCCGGAATCACAACGCGCTTCGAGGCTTGCCACCCCGCCCTTGTGCAACTCAGGACGCCCCTGAGCGGGGGTGGGGCGAAACAGGGCTGACTTGCTCGAGCGGCTCACGAAAGATCAACGCTGTCGACGGTGTTGGCTGTCGTTGATGTGAAGTGCTCCTTGACCTTGAGCAGAAACTGTGTTCGCCATGGGTCGAGCTTCGTCACACCATCGTACTCGCTGAGCTTCTCCACGAACAAATCTGTGTCTTGCCCCTCTAACGCTTCCGCAAGGGAGCTCAACAGAAGGCCTTCCCTTGAGGACTCGAAGCGCGGGTCAAGGCCCCGGTATCTCTCCAATGCAATATTAACGGTGACGCTGTCGCCGCCGACCAGATGCAAGATGCCCGCATTCAGGAAGTGTTCCTTGGCCCCGTACTGGAGCATACTATTCTGGGTTGCTTTCTCGCCCTCGTTCTCGAAGATCTTGATCGCCTCATCTAGGTCACCATCCCTGGCTGCATACAGAGCGACTTTCTGCATGCACTTGGACAGGTTGGACTTGCCGTGCTCATCTAACTCAAACATCTCTGCTGCACGTTTGTAGTATTCTTTCACCTTTGTGTCTTGCAGGTTCTCCGCCTCGTACAGCTCAGCTACAGACATCAGTAGCTTGCCAGAGCGCTGGAAGGAGCCGCAAGCAGAATGGATGCCTATTGCTTTTTCGTACTGCTCCACGGCCTGTGCAGTCGATATTTTCTTGAGCATGCCGCCGGCCTCTTCGAAGTACTTGGCCTCGTCAGAGTTCGAACCCATCACAGATGCACAGTGCGCGCACTGAGAGAAGCAGTTCGCGGCCTCCTGCCAGTCCCTCGAGATCTTGAACTGGTTCGCCGCCTGCTCGTACAGCTCTGAAGCCTCCTCGTACCTTGGGAAACCATGCTACTAACCAGCTGCAGCACGTACATGCAGTAAGGAATCTTGATATAAGAACTCGATGCAGTTCGTGGATGTTAAACAGGGTAAGGCGTCAGGGAAGCCTTGTGTAGTGGGTCACTGGGAGCAGTAGGGGATACAACAATTCTATGGTGCATCACATGGCAGGCACATTTCTGATTTGGCGCGCATCCGCAACACCCCTCCCCACTGGGTACAGGGTCCTTAACAACGTCCCGCGCTAAGGTCGCCACCGCGTCGCCACGACGCGAACATGCCGATATCTGCCACAAGTACGGGGGAGGAGTATGTGCTACCAGAAGGGCCTTGGGAACCCCATGTAGTAAGCCAAGATCACTCAGCACCGAATGTGTAAACATCGGGCCGCGTTGGATCGCAGGAGTATGCCAGAAACGAATCGGATCGGGTCGGCCACAACCGATATCGAATGTGATCGATCGGATCGGAATGAACCTTGCAATGCTCCAGCAGACCCGGATCCGACAAGTTGTCCCCCAACGACGCCTGCTTTTCGGGCCATACCTCGGCTCTTCGGCGGCCTTTCGGGACGATTCGGGCACCCCATGAACGTTCTCGGCGATGCACGGCTGCTGGAACGCACGCCTATTGAGGAACACTTTCGGAACGGACGATGACGTCGAATAGCGATCGGATCGAACCCCGATCGGATCGACGTGGACCCTGTTAGCCCCAGGTATCCGAGAATGTGGTTTTTGTCGGGTGAACCCTGCCTGGGGGAAGGGGGCTTGCTTTAAGTCGGGCCTGTCCTCCTACAGGGGGACTTTGGACAGAAAATCGGAAATACCCCACAAATACACCAAACATTGTCAACAATAGTCGAAACATCGTCCCCAGACACTTGTTTTACCAGTTTTGACGATTCCCCCTGTACAGGGACACGCCCGACTTCAGGCTTGCTCGGGTGTGGCTCCCCTGCGAGCGCTTCGCCGTCCCCTTCCTCAGAACCCTGCCTGGGCAGAGAGTGCCTGCTCGGCATGGGTTCCCCTGTGACCGCTTCGGCGTCGAGGCAGCCTTCGTCGCCCGAGCGCGCCATGCCGCTGAACTGGGCATGGGAGCGCGCCTCCAGGAGGTCCCGACCCCGTCCCCCCCTGCGAACGGGGCCCCGAGGCCGACCTCGAGGAAGATCCGCTGGGATTAAACCAATCAGATCGCCGGCGATCCTTCTTGTTAGGTCGGGCATGTTCTCCTATAGGCGGGTTCTGAAAAGACAAATGAACTACCAACTAGAACCCAACTCGTCAAAAGAGCACGAAAGATCGTCACCATACGATCGTGACTGATAGTATTGAACATTCCTCCTGTAGAGGGGCCTGCCCGGCTTAACTCTGGTGGTCACCCAGGCCCCTTGAGATCCGACGTAGCGAAAAGTGTAACATCGTGAGAATCACGACAGAGGGCCCCGGGGCCCGATCTTTCTGCGCCCGTCTGCGAGCCGGATCACACGCCATGCGCTGCGCACCGACAGCGCGTCGCTCTGCTCCGCGAGGCGGGGGTCCGGGAAGCGCTCCGAGCGTGGATGCTCGACGCCCTGGGGCGTGCTCCGCGCGCTGGGCCGAACCGCGGCGCGACACGCGGAGCGAACGCTCCCCACCGTGGCTCGGGGATGGACAGGCCCCCCTTCAGTAGAACGCGGTTTAGTGAAAACGACCTGAGGCCCAAGCCTGGCGGGCGCAAGCCTGGAAAACAAAACGGCCACGGCGCCCTCCCGAGAACCGAGAACGGACAATGCACCAATCGACGTGTCGCTGTGGGGGGTTCTGTCCACCCCCGAGTGGCCCCCGTGCCTCCGCGAGCCCGCCAGGCAGGCCAGGAAGCCGCCCTTCAGCTTCTGGTCGGCCCTGTGCACCAGCTCGCGCGCCATCGCGCGGGGCGCGCGCCCAGCCCCCAGGGCGCGCCGCCCGGCACGGCCGGGGGCCCTCGGGGGGGGGCCCCTCCGGGGGGGCCTCGCCCGGCTTGGAGCGCTGTTCTGTCCAGTTCTGGCATGCTCGTCGAAGGCGCGGGTGGCGGGATACTCTGAAGGGGTCCAAGGACACACACACACATAAATACACACACACACAAATACAAGGATTCCCCATACTTTCCCATATGTTCTGGGTTTTTGTCTTCCCCCCCACTTCCCATATTTTCGTACATCTTCTGGGGAATCGACGACGAATTGTGTCTGTGTGTTTCTTCCCCTCCTGATACTCGGGGGGCACTCGGTGGACCTGGGGATCTGGCGGCCGCGGTCTGCAGGGTGTGCCGATCGGGAGGTCTGCTGTGAAAACCCAACGGCCCCAAACTGTCGGATGGGGAACAAGTGTGAAGTGTCCTGTCGTCTTCTGCTCTGGTATGGCACGTGTTGCAATGCCTTGCCCTGTTATGTCATGCTGAGTTCTGTCATGTTATGTTCAACCCTGCGCTGTCATGCTATGTCCTGTTTTGTTATGCGCTGACCTGTTGAGCTCTGTCTTGCATATCGAAGGCGCGGGTGGCGGGATACTCAGGGGACACTCGGTGGACCTGGGTATCTGCCAGCCGCGGTATGCAGGGTGTGCCGGTCGGGAGGTCCGTTTTTGAAAAGTCAAACGGCCCCAGCCTGTCGGATGGGACAAGTGTCATGTGTCCTGTCATCTTCTGCTCTGGTATGCCACGTGTTGCAATGCCTTGCTCTGTGATGCCATGCTCTGTTCTGCCATGTTATGTTCGCACATGTTCTGTCATGATATGTCCTATTATGTGCTGTTCTGTCCAACTCTGTCGTGCTCGTCGAAGGCGCAGGTGGCGGGACATTGGGTGGACTCTTGGTGGACCTGGGGATCTGGCGGCCGCGGTATGCAGGGTGTCTGTCGGGAGGTCTGTTCTGAAAAAGACTAACGGCCCCAGCCTGTCGGATGGGTAACAAGTGTGATGTGTCCTGTGAACTTCTGCTCTGGTATGCCATGCGTTGCTATGCCCTGCTCTGTTGTGTCATGCTCTGTTCTGTCATATTATGTTCGATCATGCTCTGTCATGATATGTACATTATGTGCTGTTCTGTCCAATTCTGTCATGCTCGTCGAAGGCGCAAGTGGCGGCCATTAGGTGGCCTGGGAATCTGGCGGCCGCGGTAATTATGCAGGGTGTACCGGTCGGCAGGTTTTTGAACAATACAACGGCCTCGGCCTGTCGGATTGGAACAAGTGTGATGTGTCCTGTCATCTTCCGCTCTGGTATGCCACGCTCTTTTCTCTCATGTTATGTTCGGACAAGTTCTGTCATGCCATGTCTGGTAATGCGCTGTTCTGTCCAGTTCTGTCATGCTCGTCGAAGGCGCGGGGGGAAAGGATACTCGGGGGGCACTCGGTGGACCTGGGGATCTGGCGGCCGCGGTCTGCAGGGTGTGCCGATCGGGAGGTCTGCTGTGAAAAACCCAACGGCCCCAACCTGTCGGATGGGGAACAAATGTGAGGTGTCCTGTCGTCTTCTGCTCTGGTATGGCACGTGTTGCAATGCCTTGCCCTGTTATGTCATGCTGAGTTCTGTTATGTTATGTTCGGTCATGCTCTGTCATGCTATGTCCTGTTCTGCGTTGTCCTGCTCCAATTCTGTCATGCATTTCGAAGGCGCGTGTGGCGGGATACTCGGGGGACGCTCGGTGTACCTGGGAATCTGGCGGCCGCGGTATGCAGGGTGTGCCGGTCGGGAGGTCTGCTGTGAAAAACTAACGGCCCCAGCCTGTCAGGAGGAGGAGGAGGAGAAGGTGGAGGAGGAGGAGGGGCAGGGGAACGGAAGGGAGGAGGGGGAGGAGGAGGGGGAAGGGGGGGAGGAGGAGGGGCCCTCCACCCCCCCCCCCTTCCTCCTCCCAAAGTACTCGGAAGGGGCAGACCACTTCCCTCGCTTTGTTTGGGCCCCCGTTGCAGGGCCTTCGGGGACCTCGCAGCGGGCCCCCCGGGGGCATCGGCATCCCGCGGCAGCAGAGCCTGCCAAATCGGCGCGCACGCGGCCGCTCGTCTGACTACCTGCCGGACCACCCCAACCCAACCCGAAGACCCAAATCTCGGCTTGGGGGGGGTACGGGTTCCACTCGTGTCCGCACTGGGAATGGAGGGCAATTGAGGCCTTTGGGCTGGGTTGGGGCGGCTCGTTGGAAGGTGATCGTCCTCCTCCGCTCAGGAGAGGCTCAGCCCAGACGGAGAAAGCCCAGACCGATGCCGAGCACTCCGCGCGGACTCACTCCGCGCGGGCTTAGTTGGTTTTCGCATGACGTCAGGGGGGCTGAGTCCAGACAGAGCATCGCACTAGGGGAACGAACAATGACAACAACATCAAACCTCGGAGGCCCGCGCGGACTTCTCGGATCGGCGCTGGACCCCCCTCCCTGGCGCGCTCCGCGCGCCAGGGGCGCCGGAGGCGCCGCCAGGGGGGCCCGGCGCCGATCCGAGAAACCCGCGCGGACCCCCAAGGATTTGTGTTGTTGTCATTGTTCGTTTCCCTACGCACGGACTTGGCATCCTCAGTTCCGACGGACATTCCTCACTTTTCCGGCCCTTCCCGGGTGCACAGTTCCCTCGGCCCCGGCCCGGCAGGTATAGACCCACGCCGCGCGGTACGCCCACGCCGCCACGTCCCCCCCCCCAAACAAAAAAAATCATCGCCTCGGCGCGTGGCGAGGTCCGACGTGCGCGCATTGCTGCGGCGACGAGAAGGCGCCGCGCCGTCAAGACAGCCGAGGTGCCGGACGTGCTGCTGCTGTACGGGTGTACTCTCTATGGTGTTGCCTCTCTCTCTCTCTCGTTCTCTCCTGTTTGTGTCTCTGCCTGTGTATTTCTCTCTCTCTCTCTCTCTTTCTCTCTCTCTCTCTCTCGCTCTCTCTCTCTCTCTCTCTCTCCTTGTTTTCTCTAGTGTTTTCTCTAGTAGTCGAGCAATTTTACACAAGTCCAACTCATTCCTCCTCCCTCCCCCCTCCGCTGATTGATGTTCCGATGTTCTGGATAGCGGGGAGGGAGGAACGCGGTGGATCTTTACAGCAACTCTCCTCCGAACTCTCGCTCTGCCGTGCTCGCTGAGCACGTCCAACCAGTAAAGGTAGGGGGACAACTGGCGGTCGCGGGGCTCCAATGACTGCAGGGCGCCGTGACCACCGTGACAGCACTCAGGCAGCCCCAGCGACGGCCACGGCCACAACGACGAGGACGATGACGACGACGCCGAGAAGGGCCGATCCTGTTTTGGACGTTGAACTCGGTCTCTGCGTGCAGCGATAGGTAGACCGTGTGCTTATAGGGGTGCAGGTTCGCGAGGAAATGGCACACCTCCCTCTGAGCCACATCCATTAGCAAGACTACAGCAAGAGATAGGTCGACCCCTATCCCCGACGTCGTGGAATTTGCACGAAGGCCAGCAATCTTGGGCCCAACTCGGGGGTATACGATGAGGGGGGAGGGTCCGTCCTCGGTAGGGGTGCGTCCGAGTGGCCCCTTGGGGCTGCGTCCTGGAAGGTATGTCCGTTTCTGAGCAGCTCGACTTGAAGAGGCAAGATTCAAGGGCGAGGTGTCGCCTGCGAGGCTACCCATCTTGTGCTGCAGCGCCTGCTGCCCTCCTAGTGGCATCCCTGCGAGGGCCTGCACAAACGTGCTCTGCGCGAGCCCAACCCTGCGCCGGCTTCGTGCCGATCAGAAGCTCCTCTGCATGTCTGGCACTGTTCCCGATCACGAAGTACAGCCTCCTTGCCGCCTTGCTCGGGTGTGATCACTTTCTGTGCTGAGCTGAATGCGACCAAGCTGCACAACACGTCGTCGCCCCCACCCCCCTCCCCGTGTGGGGGCCACCAGGCGGCGCAGACGAGGCTTCAGCAGCTGAGCAGTTTAGTTCGCGCGGTTGAGCCGTTCCCGGCGTTAGCTGCTTCTCATGAACGCAGCAATGCGACGCGCTCACCTTCTCTGAGCCCAGTAACCAGCTCTCAAAACGCAAGTTCCCTCAATTTCTCCAAAAAGAGAGCGGCACATAGGTCAAGCTCGAGAACCCTCACGGCCCAAAAATTCTTCCTCCCTCCGAACCACGATGCCCGTCTGAATGGCTCGGACACGCGAACCTGCTAACAGCCCGGGCTCCCGATGCCACGATACCCTGCGCTCCTGGGCCCACGCTCCCTGTTACCACGATGAATCCTCGCTCCCATGGCCATGATCCCGAGTACAGTCGGGGCCTTGACCTAAGGAACCCAAAATAAGGAACGAGGCCCCTGTTTTTCCACAAGTGAAACTCCGATGTCCGATCGAAGGCATAAGGAAAACCTGAGGCAAGCTGCGAAACCCTTAAGGAACGCGGAGCCCCTCCCCAACGAAAAAGGTTCCTTCTTCAGGGCCCCGACTGTATCACCGCTCCAGAGAGCACGATCCCTGGTAAAAGAATGGTGCCCGTCAGCCAGGGCCACGGCCCCCTTTCACAAACCTGCGGTTCACGCTCAGTGCGACCGCGCTCCCGAGGCCAGACTCCCTCGCCAATCAAATACCCCTGAACGCCATGATAGCAGGATGCTGAGATTTGTCCGTGAGGCCATTTGGAAGCTCCCGAGAGAGTCCTGAGAACGTCCCGAGAAGGGCCGTGATCAGCTCTTGTGGTGCTCTTGCGAAGCTCCTGGGTGGCCTCCTGAGAGGCTGATCGGAAGTCTCTGAGAGGGTCCTGAGAGACTCCTGGTATGCTCCTCAGAAGCTCCTGAGAGGGACTAAGGAGGGTCCTGAGAAGGTCCTGCAAAAGGTCCTGGGAGGGAGGGTTCCGAGAGGGTCCTGAGAGGCATTGCTAGGCACGGCGCGCGAGAGGCTCCTGAGACGCCCTCGCGAGGCTCTCGAGAGGGTCCTGGGAGGCTCATGATAAGCTCCTGATTTGGGAGCCCCTTGCAAAAAAGGCATGCCCAAAACACGCATCAAACGCCCAGCGCCCCAGCAACGCAGTATAATTGCAGCATGGGTGAACAGGCGGGTCGAGGAGCAGGAGGCGTGCGAGTGAGAGCATGTATTCCTAGGTGCTCTGAAGGGTCCCTAAGCCCGACGCGGGTCAGACCACGGCCAGGTGTATATGAGACCTATATTGCATCACAGCAGCAATTTGGCCCCTGACTTTCGTCCTGGGTTCGGTCGAGTGAAGTGAGGAATTTCGGGATCCTCACGTGGGAAAATGACATCACTTCACTAATCTGGGGCCCCTGGGGCCTCAGTGGGCCCTGGGGCCCAACATTAGTGACGTGATGGTTTTCGGGCCTCGGAGTGTAAAGTAGCGCATCTGTTGCCAGGGACCGTGGCCGTGTGACAGGGGTCAGAGCACGGCCAGGTGTACAGTAGCACACCTGTTGCAAGGGACCCTGGCCGTGTGATAGGGGCGAGAGCGCGGCCATGTGCACCGTGGCGTCTCTGCTGCAAGGGGCCGTGGCCGTGTGACAAAGGTCGGAGCATGGCCATGCGCACCGTAGAATGGATGTGTCGTGCGGGACCCTGGCCATTTGCCATGGAACGGGGCCTCCTGCGAGGCCCGCTGGGAACGCCTTGGCTGCCTCGTGGGGGGAGAGGGCCTCTTTGGCCGTGTTGGGGCTCTCTTGCCCCCTCGGGCGCCTTCGGGGGCCGTCCTGAGGGCATGTCTGAGCTGTCCCAGGGCCCTCTCGGAGGGGGCGAAGGCACGGCCGGGCTCACCGCAGTACAGTCGGACTTCATCGGACAGGACACGCGAGAGGACAAAAGACCCTTCCGAGGGTCACACTGCCATAGGGATGCAGGAGGCACGGGTCGCGAGACACAGGACGCAAAGGTACCCTTGATTTGGCAGGGTCGACCTACTAATCTGGGCCGACTGTACGTCTTCTGCTGTGGCAGGGATCGCGTTGGGGTGCGAGCACGGCCACGTGCACCGTGGCGTGTTTTACAACGGGTCGTGGCTGCGGCTCTGCCTCCAGTGTCGCAACCTGGGGAGAGTGGTGTGGTGAGGGCAGTGCACCTCGCATCGAGGAAGGCAGCACGCTGCCAGGGAACAAGTGGGGCCCGCAGCCACGACCTGCTGGACAATGCAGTCGTGTTGCGCGTGTGGCCACAGAATCTCCTCATCCTAACGCACGCCCATGGCCCAGTCACTCACGTGGACTTCTTCCCCTTTTAACGACGCCGCCAACCAATCTGCTGTTCTTCCGACCAGTTAGCCAGTCAGCCTGCCAGCTAGCTAGCAGATCAACCTGCCAAACAGCTAGCCCGACAACTAGCCGAGTTGCCAACCTGCCGATCAGTGGACTAGCCATCGAATCAACCAACCGAACTAGCCAACCAGCCGAGGCACGCAAGCAAGCAAGCAAAAGAAAAGACGGACGCAGAGGGCGACACCATTTGGATATCGTGCAGTGCTCTGCTGCGCCCGGCAGCAGGACCTCTCTCCGTCTCCCCCCGTTCTGCATCTCCCGACGGGCAGCCCGGGGACAACAGCTGTCTGATCGGTCACGCGGCACTGGCTCTTATTCAAGGGCCTGGCGTGCCCTCGACCCCCCAGGAGCGGCATGCGGGGGCCATCGGAGAGAACGACCAGGAGGACGGACGAGGACCTCTCTCTGGAGGGGCCCAAGGACACACAGGCATCTAGCGACAAATCGCAGGAGTTCCGCGTTTCTATATCTCTGTTCTGGATGCCCATCTGCCCCTCCACTTCACATGTTTTCCATATTCTCTTCGGAATCGACGATTTGGCCCTCCCGATGTGAGCGTGAAGGAGAACGGGTCCTCGAGGCAAGAGGTCCTGGAAACTGATCGCCGGATGCTGGCCCCCTGGGCGCTGGGAATGTGACAAAAGCAACTCAGGGTGAAAGACCTACGTAACCCTGTTCGATGAGAACATGTGTTAGCTCCAAGGTGTGTTTGTTCATCGAGGCCCTTCGATACGACGCAGGCGATGCAATGTTCTACTGGTTGGGCTGAAGGGGGTAACACACACACAGACACACACACACACATTGGGCAAACACACGTCCTGCGGATCCTCGACCTATGCCCCCGTAATCACAGGGTGGGGATGACTCAGTTCGGGGATCTGGCGGGATACTAAACTGTTCCCGGCGCACTTCCCACGGCGATTGTGAAGTTCGGAAGTACGGCCCCGCCGCTCCCCACCGCTGACCCAGACCGTCTTGGTCGGGGGTAGTCATGAGGGTCGCGGGAAGGGAGGGTATACTTTTTTATCTGGGGCATGCTGTCAATCATCGGGAAAAGCCTGGCGCCTGGGAACCCTGCCCCTCCGCACCCCTCTCCTTCCTGCCCTCGACCTCCACCTTCCGAACCTTCCGCGCAGCAGGTGCCGCCGCGGCGCGGCCGCGGCGACCGCAGAGACCGCCGCTGCGGCCTCGACGGCGGCCTCTTTGGCCGCGCTGGCGGTGGCCGCTGCGTGGCACCGGCTGCTCAGAAGGTGCGGAAGGTGGATACGACGAAGTAATGACGAGGATAGAAAGCGGGTGAGGATAAATCGAGAATCTCTGAGATCCAGCGGCTCTGGAGGATGTCTCGGGCGCCGTGGCCTTCTCAGAGCGTTCCGGAACGCTCTGAGAGCGTTTCAGATCGCTCTGGAACGGATTTGTCCTCGTCCTAGCCCCGCCCGAGTGGAGGTCGAGGGTGGGGAGCCAGTGTCCCAGGATCTGAGGGGACAGTGGGCAAGGACAACTTTGGGCCCCATGCGAGCAGGAATGTAGGACGCCCGAATTGTCCGCGATAGCTGCGGTCTGGGGTACCCCTGGCTTGGGCCCCCGAGGCGCGAACCCATAGCTGCTCTCAACCGGCCCCAGCCCTGATGACACTGGAAGGTTGGACGCCCAAATTGACCGCGATAACTGCGGTCTGGGGTAAGACCGCTTTGGGCCCCCGAAGCGCGAGCCCGTGGCTACCCCTGACCGACTCCGGCCCTGATGACTTGGGAGGGCACGCCCAAATTGTCCAGGATAACTGCGGTCTGGGGTAACTTCAACATGCCCCCGACGCGCGAACCTGCAGCTGCCCCTGATCACCACTACCCCTGATGATCCGGAACTCTGAGACTGTATCAACATCTGCCGCCTCCCGATGCCCAGGAAGATCGCTTCGCCCCACACGCCCCCGAAAAGGACACGGGATGGCTCCAGTAACCCTGGATCGACAACACATGTCATCTCTCGGGAAGGGAATGCTTACTTCCGCCGGCGGATGCCGACTTCGTTTTGCTTCCGCAACCTCTCACCAGCCTTCCACCGAGGAAGATCTGTCAACTCCTTCGATCCGCGAAGGCAAGGGCCCTTCTGGAGCACACCAGTTGGCCCTTCAGGTCCTCCAACTGGCTCCCGAGGAGATCCCCACATTGGCTGTTCGAAGCCGCTGCTCGCGCTGGCCCCCGACCATTCGTTTGGCGGACACTACTCCGGAAATATAAGGCTGGGACAACGGGCTCACGGATAACACGGGGAGGATAAGACGGAGCGAGGGAGCGAGGGAGGGAGAGGATACGGAGATGGGAAGGGAGAAGGATGGTCAGCATGAGGGTACGCATGCACAAATCATTGCGACGGTTTGCGCATTCGTTCATCATGTGCACATGTTGTGGCCCCCGACGCTTCTATGGACAAATACCAACACCACCGCGAAACCTCAGAGCCCACGAACGACCGCAGCATCCTGTTCGCCACGAAGCGCTCCTGTCTCTCCCACTATCCGCAGGCAGCCCAAACGTGCTGCTCGGCCTGAAGTTAGGATGGCCCCAACAAATGTCCGATATGAAAACCAAGCTTGGCTCTCCTGCCATGCGCAACACAAACACTCTGCCGTCCTCCTGCACTGCGACTCGGGCATCATTCCGGAACGTTTGGAGGCGAAACGGAAGCACACACACACACACACACACCCGAACATCGAGCTCGAGGACAAGAGGCCGCTTTACCAAGAAGCAAAAAACACACATGGCTGGATACATCTGAAAAAACACGCGGGGGCCAGGCGCTGGATACACATGTGGGGACCCGGCCCGCCTGGTCATAGAGGCGCCTGGCGCCGGGAAAACATGTGGAAACATGTGTATCCAGCTCTGGCCTGTGGTCAAATCTGGCCCGCTTGGTGGCCCGTCATCGCCCGTCGCCGCCGTAGGTCGTGGTGGCCCGTCATCGCCCGTCGCCGCCGTCCGTCGTGGCCTGTGCGCCAATCCAGCTCGCTTGCGGGGGCCCACCGCCAGCCGTCGCCGCCCGCCGCCGCCGCCCGCCGCCACCGCATTTTGATAGCCATTTTGATTGCGCGAGCCTCGTATATTTTTTGTTCTACCCCAAAAAACAATATTAGCAGCCCGCCGTCGCGATGCGCAAATCAGGTGCGATCCTGCCCCACAGCTCATTCAAATCATGCGCCCGTACCACCCCAGCCAAAACGGCATCGGCCCCCCACCTCGTCCGACGCGAAAAACATTACGCGCACAGTCATGAAAACAAAACATACGATTTCAAACAAATCTTCTGCAAAACGGGGCGATGTGCACACGCTCGCGTCGTTGCGCGCGCGCGTGCTGGAATCTTTTCGGAACAGGAGGTAATTATCGCATGGATTTGAAAATCGCGCGCCCCGCAAACAGAAAACCATGATTCGGCAACATCATGTTGAAACAAACAAAATCTGCACTCGCGCTCTTGCGAATTCTGAAGGACACCACCTTTTGTTTCAACTTCTTCACCACATGCGACCAAATGGGCCTCTCGCGCGCACGTGTCGACATCACTCGAACGCCCTTGCGCGCGTGCTGCTTTGGTCCAACCGCGCGCGTCGGCCGTGCGCAGATGTCGATATCCTTCGAAAAACCTTCATCACCGACGCGAAGGCACCATCATCGTCATCGGCGTGATCAACATCGGCACCGTCTTTGGCCTTGGTGTCGTTATTCTTACCATCGTGACCAATCAGTGCAACTCTCATCATCGTGTCTGCTGTTGTCGACGTCGCCATGGTACCGCGCCCGCCCAAGTCACCGAGTCGCACTGAAATGCCCGCGCGTAAGTGCGGCATGCGGGACGTGCCGGAAAGTCCCCAGCGGTCAGCGCCACCGCGGCCGCGCCCATCGCGCCACATTAGATGACCGCTGTGCGCGCGAACCTGCGCGCGCTAGCGCGGCCGCAGCGATGCGGGTCAGCGCCAGGCACTCATCGCAATCGGCCCCGCATGGGTCAGACGGTCCCGTTTAGACCCCCCAACACCAACCTTAGCACAACAATGGTTCGCGCGCGCTCCATCTACAAAGCACACCAGTTTCCAATCATCATTTGCGCGGTCGCGCGCGCATGCCGAAATCCTTCAAACAACCTTTGGTGTCGTCTGAATTTCAAAATCGAGTGTCACGAAATCATATAAGAAACCAATTGCTTCGCAACCGGCATTTTCAAACAAAAATACGCTCGCGCTCTTGCGAATATTTGTAGAACACCATAAAGTTCGACGGCTGCGAACCGATTACATATCACTGCTAACACAACATGCTATTCTCCTTTCTAAAAGAAGAACAGTCTCTCCCCCACCAAAAAAACTGTTCTGCCCCATGGTCCATCCGAGATATAAACTCGTACTATCCCAGCCAGACCAGTATCACTCCCCCCCGCCATACTCTGCAACAACTGCTATGCGCGAGCTCTCGTTTATTAAAACCATGAGAATGCTTAACATTCCCTTGGGTGAAAAAAGGGACGAAGTGCACATGCACGCGTAGTCGCGCGCGCATGCCGACATCCTTCGAAAACCTTCGGTTTCGGAAGGGTTTCAAAATCGAGTTTCCAAACATACACAAAAATACATGGTTTCGCAACACTGATGTCCAACAAAAGCTTACGCGCGCGCTCTTGCGAAATCTTGAGAAAAGCTAGGGTTTTTCAAGATCTCAGGAAAAAAAGCTTCGCGCGCGCCCATGCCGAAATCTTTCGAACGCCCTTGCGCGCGTGCTGTCGGGAGAATTCCCAGCAAAAAAAATTCGACGAAGTGCAGACGCGCGCGTCGTCGCGCGCGCATGCCGAAATCCTTAAAAAAAACCGTCGGTTTCGGAAAGGTGTCAAATTCATGTCCAAAACCACAGAAAACACAAGGTTTCGCAACACGGATCTTCAACAAAAGCGTGCGCGCGCGCTCTTGCGTCCTCCCTCCTCCCTCGTCGTCGTCGTCGCCGTCGTCGTCCTCTGTCTTTCCTCGTCGTCGTCGTCGTTCTCTTTGGCGTCGTCGTCGCTTCCGTCGTCGTTGTCGCCGTGGTCGTCCTTTCTCCTCCCTCGTCGTCGTCGTCGTCGTCCGTCGTCGGCGTCTCGCCGTCGTCCCTACTACTTCGTCGCCGTCGTCTTCGTCGTCGTCGTCTTCACTCCTCCCTCGTCGTTGTCGTCGTCGGCGTGGCCGTCCTCCCTCCTTCTTCGACGTTCGCGTCGTCGCCGTCCTCCCTCCTCTCTCGTCGTTGTCGTCGGCGTCGGCGTCCTCCTTCACTCGTCGTCGTCGTGTTCGTTGGCGACGTCGTCGTCGTCTTCATCGTCGTCGTCGGCGTCGTCATAATCGTTGTCGAAGTCGTCGTCGTCGTCGTCGTCATCGTCGTCGTCGTCGTCGGCGTCGTCGTCGTCGTCGGCGTCGACGTCGTCGAAGTCGGTGTCGTCGTTGTCGTCGTCGTCGAAGTCGGTGTCGTTGCCAAGTGCCATTTGGCACCTGCAGTCACAGTCTTAAGAGGTCTTGCGACCAAGTTGAGGGTGGGAGAGTGGGATGTTTGCACGAGCAGTGGAGAGGACAGCTCCAAGAAAATCAAAGTGACTTGCACCACATAAGTTGCACCATGTAGATGTACCACATAGATTGTACCACGTAGCTTACACAACATAGATTGCTCAACATCGGTTGCATCACGTCTCTATACTCTTTTTTTTCTGTACAAGAAACCCTGTTTGCCCCCATCACCCCCCCCCCCCCCCAGATTTAAAACCCACCCTGGGGAACGCCAATGTACAGATGATCCCGTCTCCTTGTTGATTGCTATATGAACTCTGGCCATCCGAGCCAGACCAGCATCGACACCACCCCTCATCCCTGTCAAATAATACCATGCGGTACACATGCGTTGATCTAGTCCGAGCTTTTGGCACGCTCCCTACGAAAAGATACCATGCGGGTCACATGCGCGTCTGTGAGTCCCTCTTCATCTTCCGTCATCCCTTGCGTCTCCCTGCCCTGTTCTGTGTCCATTCCTGCCCCCTCGTCCCTCCCTCTCTCGCTCGTGTTCTTTTCGTCTTCGTCCTCTCTCCCTCCGCGTCGCTCTCCGTTCCTCCCTTCCTCCCTCCTCCCTTCTCCGCTGTCGCTTCCTTCCCTCCTTTCCCTCCTAATTCAGTCCTCTCTTTCTCCTTTTACCCTCCGTACTCCCTTCTATCTCCCTGCCCCTTTCCATGCTCTCTCCTGCTCCCTCCTCTCTCTCGCCTCTGTTCTTCTTGCCCTCGTTCTCTTTCCCTCCGCGTCGCTGTCCCTCTGCCCGCGCTGTCCCTCTGCCCGACAGCTGGGGCGCGTGCTCAAAGTCACCCTGCCCTGCTTTGTTATATCCTTCGGTATAGCAGGAGCTCGACCGCAAGAAACCTTCCACAAGGGACCCAACCCTGAGACCCCCAGGACGTCCACTCATTTTTGGTGTGGGACCGTCACTCCTTCCACCGCAAAACCATCGAAGCCGAAGAAACCCAGGACACCCTGGAGGCAAGCTAGGTGTTTCTTGGCAGGGGCCTCCACAGTATCACGTTTTCAGCCCGGGGGGCGTCTCGGGAACCGCCAGGATCTCATCCGCACGCCTTGCAGCATTGGCTCCTTCAGCGCGGCGCGGCCGTGCAGTCGGGGGCTCCTCAGGCCCGCAGGAGTTGCCTCGGTATGCGTTTGCCAGCCAACGTGCGGGTGGGAGGGTGGGATGTCTGCACGAGCGCGGAAGGTGTTCACGCGCGGTGCAGCGTGGTCAAGTACACTACGTAGATTGCACCAAAGTCTGCACCAGATGCTAGGACACACCGTTTGGGGCCCACGCTGGCTACAACTCTCGCTGGCAAGACTTTGTGCCACCGGGGAAGCTCTTATCTCGCCATCGAGACCAATCATCGCGGCAATGGGTCGAACCCGCAAGAGTCAGTGCTACAGGTCACGTCGCGGCCATGCGCGCGGCGACGGGGCGTAGAAGGTCGGAAAACAGCGAAGTGCCTCTAGGCCAAGCACTCAGAGATCACTGAGGGCTTTGCAGCTGCCTGCAGCCATAATCATCCAGGCATGGATGGCGGGGAAGCGTTGAGCACACGAAACTACGGTGAGGCGGAAGGTGCGATCAGCCAACCAGGACTGGAGGGCGGGAAGAGCGAGTAAGCAGGATGGACCGACAAGGAGAGTGCCAAGAAACGCCAGAGATAAACCAAACACACACACACAGAGTGCCATTCATACGCGCACAAACACACACATACACACACACTGACACACACACACACAGACACACACACACACACGCGAGCAAGCACGCAAGTGCTCTCACACACACACACACAAAAAAAAAAAACGCACACGCGCAAGCACACGCACACACGTTGCGCGCGCACGCAGGCGGGGCACCAGCCGCTCGACCGATCAACGAGCAGTGAGCAAAAGAAAGCTGGAAAGCAAAAGAGTAGGCCACCAAGGATCAGCCCTGGAGAGCCGGCAAGTGCAAGGGGGGGAAGTGCTGGCCCCTCACGGGGCGATGGCGGGGGGCGGCGGGCAGCGGACGGTGGCGGTGAGCAGCGGGCGGCGGCGCCAAACGGGCGTCGGCGGGCCAAGCACCCGAGGGGCGGCGGCGCCGCCAAACGCGCGCCAACGTGCCACGCCCCTAAGGGGCGGGTGCGGGAGGCGGGCAGCGGCAGCAGTGCGCCGGCGACCAGGTCGGCAGCGGGGCGGCCCAGGGGACACGTGTGGAAGCAAACGGCGCGAGGGCACCGAGGAGCAGCAGTCGCCTCTCGGGAGTGGCATCTCTGGTGGAGTCCAGAGGTGACCCGCGCACGAAACTGCGAAAAGAAGCAGCGGCACACCGCCGGGAGGCGCCGCGCGCGTCCCACCGGAGCAGAAAGAGGCCCGAGCGCAGGGTGCGCAAGGGACCAAGGAGCGCTAACGATCCTCGTGGTGAGGCCGCCGCTGTTGACCCGTGAGCCGACGCCGACGCGTCGAAAGCCGCTCCGGTCCGGCAGTCGTGCCCGACGACGCCGGACGCCGACCCAGATGGCGAGAGCGAGGCAGCACGCGGGGGGTTGCGTGGCTGGCCGCGTCGGCAGAGCCGACGATGCTGTCAGGGCCGACCGGGGTCGGGATCCTCCTCCTCCTCCTTCTCCTCCTCCTCCGGAAGCCAGGGCACGCCATCGATCCTCACGGTGAGGCCGTCGCTGCTAAGCCGATCGCGGCGTGGAGCACGGGCGAAAGGAGGCTGGAAGAAGCCAGGGCCACGCACGCTCACGCACATGCGCGCACACACACACACACAGAGAACGCACACGCGCACACGGACACAGTGGTCAGGCGGCGTGTAGCACGGGCGCGGCGCACGCTGGCGGGAGGCACCGTCGTAAACTGCATCGGCAAATATGGCGAAAACGCTCTCTCTCGCGATCGGCATCTCAGGCCAGGAGCGGGCCGAGGCGAGCAGGCAGGAGAACCAGGGCCCGGAAAGCACACGAGGCATGCCCGCAGACGCCACGGCACCCACACACGCTCCCACGCACGCACTCACGCGCACACGAATGCATGCCCCCCCCCCTACACACACACACCACACACACACACACACACACGCACACGCACACGCACGCACGCACGCACGCTCGCACGCTCGCACGCACGCACGCACGCATGCACACACACACCCGCACACACACACAAACACACCCGCACACACAGACAAACACACATACACACACACGCACACGCACACACACACATACACACACGCACACACACACACATACACACACGCCCACACACAGACACACACGCAACCACATACGCATACGCACTCACGCATAAGACATGCACGCATACGCACGCGCACAGACGCACAGACGCCTGGACCCATTCCCCGCGTGTAAAGACACGGACACTATTTCAGGACGCAAGCAGGGGCGGGTGCTACCCCACGGGCCGGACACGGGGCACAAATAAACCCACTCAACTCATGAATTACTTTTGCCAGGAGAGCCCGGTGATCACTGTAGCACAAGCATCTTGTAGGCGTGTGTACAGAATGCCTTTTCGCAACAGGTACCACCCCATGCCAGAGCAACTCATTACTGCGAGACGGTGGCTTCTGCATACATATTTCAACGCCTCGGGAACCGATGCACAGGGACCTTAGTGCGCGGTGGATATGGAGATGATTGGGTTCCACGGGGGCGCATCATTCTTCCCCCCTTGCGACTCCATATTGCACTCCCCTTCGTATCACTCCGCGGTGCCGCTCCAATTTCCTCGCTCGCAGTGCCGAGCTCACGCGCGTCACCCCATTGGCCTCCCGCTGCCATCATCGCCCAAATCGCTATCGCTCACACGGCCTCTCCGATCAATATATTCCTGTGTAGTCAACCCCCCTGGCGGTCGTTGTAATTGATGAGGTTGATAAACGGCGTGTCGGACTCCGAGCCATCCATTTGGATTGGTACGTAGTGGTCCTGGCAGAGCAGGTGGGCTGGTGCATGAGGGGTGATACAGGCAAGGGGAGCCCAACTCAAGGACAAACGAAACTAATTGACCAAGAAGAGGGGCCTAAAAGCCGCAAGTTGAAGTCTGGAGACTGGTCATCTTCATTTCAGCGGCGGGGCCTTTGGTGAACCACGCGATGCCCTCGGCGAGCGCTCGAGCTTTGGCCAGGGACTGGCATAAGACTCTCCCGCCAACGAAGACATACATTTCGCATCGCTAAATGTGGGGGTGGGTGTCGTGAAGGACCCAACCATACGCAATTGTGAATACCGCAATTGTGAATGGGGCCTGCCAAGCGGGCGCCCTCACTGGTGCCGTAGGTGGAGCTCGTTGTGGGACACGAGACGTGCGAGAAATGCGCCGGCATGGGCGGGGATAGGCGACACGGGCGCCCTCTCTTGTGCCGTATGCGGGGTTCCCTGTGGGGCACGATCCCGGCTCCTCCCTACGCGGCCGCCTTCTCGCCATCCCCCCCTCTTGCAGGCGGGTGAATTCGATACGCCGTGTCCTAGTCTCTCCCCGACGCGCGTTCGGACCGCCTCTGCCGCGCTGCGACAGAAGAGTGGGGCACGATCCGTGCCAGGGGTGTGGCAGAAGGGTGGGGGCACGCCATGCGGGCGCCCTCACTGATGCCAGGAAAGGTGCTTCCGATGCGGGCATGACTCGCGCGGGGTGTGCCGGAAGGGGCATGCGGACGCAAAGCAGAGGCAGGGTGAGGGGAGGAGGAGGAGAAGGAGAAGGAGGAGGAGGAGCAGGATGAGGAGGAGGAGGAGGAGGATGAGGAGAAGGAGGAGGAGGAGGAGGAGAGGCAAGTGATGAGGCGCTTGGCACTGCGGATCGCAAAGAAGCCCCAACAACCCTGGAGGGTTGGGAGCAAGGGCCCGACAAAAAAGGAGAATGGGGAAAACAGAAGGATCAGGAGGACCAGGGTAAAGCCTCGGTGGCAACTCATGGGAGCCTCCCATACCATCTTGTCGGCCCCTGAGAATCGACGCGAAATCGACGCTATACCGACGCTAATCGACTTTAATCGACGCTAATCGACGTCAAATCGGCAATATCTCATGTATTTCCAGCCGCTGATCGACGCTAGTGCACTCTGCAGACAGCAATGCGAGGGTACACACGGCTCCCATGATTTGCTACAAAATAAATGAATGAGGAGGACCAGGTCAAGCCCAACACTTACCAGAGACCCCGCACTTGCAGAAATAGTGAGAGGGCGGGGGGGCCGTCAGCAGCCTGCGAAGCTCGAACCCAAGTTGGAAGAAGCCCGCCGCATGCACCGACCTCCGCACACTGCACCGCGTGCCCGCCGCAGGCGCACATGTTCCGTCGAGGCACTGTGGGTGGGTCGCGGGTGGGGCCCTGGCCATGATACCCGCCGCCCCGAGTCTATAGGGAGCAGATCGTCCACCCTCCCACCAGTTCGGGAGCAGATCATCCACCCTCGTCCACCCCAAGGGTGGTGGATCACAAGCGGGTCGGGGGTACGGTGCGGGTGGGTCGTGGGCGGGTCGCGCGCGGGTCTCGGGCGGGAGCGACGACAGCACAACAACATAACACAACATTGCGCAGCAGAAACAAATTCGCACCACGGGCTCAAACTTCGGCCACGAACCCAGGGACAGGGTAAGAGCATTCGTTGGAGGCTTGGAAGTTGACTCCAATACCAGAATAGGGGGTGTTCACGGGCGGAGGACGATCCTAGATTTTGGTGATGATGGTAGTCTTTCGGGCACCTAGGAAACTCAATTAGTACTGTCATCACCGAGGTTAGCACACCGCCGATATTGATGTTGGCGTGAACCACTAGGCCTCCGTTCTTGGCCCCCTCACTCTGACCAGCGATGCTGCTATACAGCCTCCCGTCCAAGGTCCCCCCTTCAGAATTCCCTACGCGCACCCCCTTCAAAAAACGCGCACCCGATGGGCCCATCATTCAGGCGGCAGCTGCCCTCCACTTTTCGAGCTAGAAACTGCGACACCGGTGAGTCAGCAAATCAAAAGGGAACGCCCAACAACAGCCCCGCTTTGAAGCCCAGTCGCTCCCCATCCGTGTACAGGGCAACACCGGCGGGACACCAATGCGAGAGCCTCGTTCGTTTGAACGGCACGGCTGGAACAGTTTGAGACAAGTGTGCGCGGTGCCAGTGCGAGAAGACCATTTGAAAACGACTCGCCCTCCTGACTACCTACCACCACCCAAACCCAATCCAAAGACCCGAATTTCGGGTTGGGGGGGGTTCGGGTTCCATATGTGTGCTTTTCCATGTTCCCCGATCCCCCCCCCCCCCGCTGGGAATGGAGGGCACACTGGGGCCTTCGGGTTGGGTTGGGGTGGTTTGGTGGGTGGTGACCTCCATCCGTGTAACTGCTCGAAGGAGATTCAAAATGAAGATCGGCGGCGCCCAATTCGAGAACGGGTCGCCCTCATCCGTGGATTCCTTGGACCCCCAACTGAAAGTTCAACATCGCCTTCGGTGAGGAACCTTGCAGGCGAAACGGCAGGCTCGCCGTGGTCTGACAGGGAGGAGATACTAGGGCTCCCAACTTCGCGCTTCGCGCTCCGCGAAGCGCGAAGCGCGAATAACTTCGCGCTCTCGCGCCGCCCTCCCAAAGGGAGAATAGGAGGACGAGGAGGAGGGGGAGAAGGAACGAGGACCGCGAAGCGCGAAGCGCGAATAACTTCGCGCCCTCGAGGGAGCCCTTGATACTTCTGAGGAAAAGGGGACGTGGGACGCACGGTCGTACGCATTCGCAGCGAGGACTCAATTCCACGAGGAGGACTGGGAAAGGCAAAACTGCTTGCGAGGAGGGTGGGGGCAGACGGAGGAGTGGGACGCGCGGCGCTGCCTATTCACATCAGGCGCCCAACAGCACAGTACTTCCAGTCCTTGTTCCAACCCCCCGTCCCTACTTTGAAGACTCATCTGGGCCTGGCCATCGCTCGGACGTCTAGTCACTGTGTTTTTTTCAGTTTCGTGCGTGGCTTTTTCGCCAAATGATCAAGGATGCTCCTCGATGGCCCTCGCCGAGAAAAAATGCACACGTCCGAGCGATGCCAGGGGGCTTGCTCGTCTATCGAAGCAATTATTGCCACTTCGCCTCCACGAGCCACTTCGCCCCGCTCACGACTTCCCCGTCTGCGCAGTCCTTCTGAGATCCCCTTCTCACATACCCTGTCCTGGTACCGCGCGATGATCTCTTTGCACTTCTCCAGCGACAAGCCGCGAAAACGAGCGAGGTCTTCCAAATACGTGTCGCCTCCCACGGAGAAGGCATTCGGGGAGATACATCAACTTGTAAGCTGCTGCTGCAGATGCGTGCAGCATGTCTTACTGCACGATAGGGGATCGGGCGACGTAACAACGCGGATTACTTCACCACGCCGGAACTGTGGCTGCTTCTCGTGCCTTCCGTCCTCTGCCTCCGCCAGCGCCGTCCTATTGCTGCCTCTCGACGAGGGGTTCTGTTCAAGCACTGACCGCGACCCCCCTTTTGAGATGTACCACGAATGCGCTGCTTATGCTCCTGGCTCCCTCTGGCGCTCGGCCCACACCCGACGCACCATCCGCAGCATTCACGGAGATCTGCACGAAACAAAGGTCTGCCTTCAGACGTTCCTGTCGGAGGCGAGGCGAAGGGAGGACCGGAGCTGGCGGGACACTGCACGAGTCTCCACAAGAGTGGAGACATGGGACGCAATGTTGATGGAGGTACGGACAGGAAGGACGGCCCACAGCGGCACTGAGAGACAGTGCATATCTCGGACCACATGCTGGCGACTGTCTCAAAGCTATGCTCTGCTGACCTGGCTGCCACACCGACGTGCACCCCTTCTATCTCGTCACTGTTCCACTTTGAGATGTAGCACTCTTAGGCGTGGCCGCTCTTCCTCATCATGCAAGAACTGGCTGCAAACAGGGTCGTTTCGAAAACTGCGTGGGACTCTGACGAAGGTAGCAAGTGTGACCAAGCCGTTGCCGATAGACTGACGTACTGAATTATCAAACTACGCAAGTATACTCGCGGCTGCAAACTTAGCGACTCGGAAAAAGCTTGACGCAGCGTGCCCAAGAAAACGAACGATTCGGACTGCAACAATGCAAAGCAAATTGCAATATGTGGCTTCAGGCTGTAATCGGAGAGCGCCTCACACGAGCATGGCTGGACCATTCAATCTCG